CCCTTCACCACGACAAGGCAGCAATCCGTGAAGGGGCTTGTCAAAGGTAGGAGCTAAAAAAATAAATCTATTTATCCTTTAAAAGGCCTAAAAGATTCACCTTGGATTGAACCTCAGTGTAGACTGAACCACAGAGCAACACCCGGGCAACCAGCCGGGTCCAAGGGTTCTGCCTTTTGTCGTTTGTGGATGTCCTGAGAGCAGTATTGGGGTATAAAAGTGAAGGTAAATTTTTGCCCAGTCGTATTCGACTCTAGGGCGCGGTGCTCATCCCCGTTTCCAAGCCATAGAGCCAGCGTTTGTCTGAAGACAATCTTCCATGGTCACATGGCCAGTGCGACTTAGACACGGAACACTGTTACCTTCCCACCGAGGTGGTCCCTATTTAACTACTTGCATTTGCATGCTTTCGAACCGCTGGGTTGGCGGGAGCTGGGACAAGCGACGGGCGCTCATTCCGTCACGTGGATTTGATCTTACGACTGCTTGGTCTTCTGACCCTGCAGCACAGGCTTCTGCGGTTTAGCCCGCAGCGCCACCACATCCCTAGTATAGGGGTATAAGGATTCCTTTTTCTATGTTATTCCTTTCCCGTCCCATTGGAGGGATTTAATAATTGTCCTTCATTTCCACATGTGTGTGTATGTGTTAATTGCCTCCAGATATAAAAGAACCTTTGCCCCTATAGTAAGTAAGACACTGTGTATGGTAGAATTCTGTGTATATAGATAATCGTATTGTATGTCAAGGGTCGCCAGGCCGCGGACCGGGACTGGTACATGGCCTTGGAAGAACTGGGCTGCTGGGACAGATGAGCGGCGAGCAGTAGGGGAGTGGCGAGCAAAGCTCCGCCTTCTGTCAGCATGCTCCTATTAGGTTCTAATGCTGCTGCTGATTTGACAGGAGGCGGAGCTTTGCTCCCTGCTCCCCGCCTGCTGCTGCTAGATCAACTGTGCCTGTGGCATTAGAATTTAATGTAGGAGGCTTGCACTCCTATTAGGTTCTTTTTTTAAAAAAAAACATTTTATTGGTTTTTCATTCTATCTACATTCAGTTCGTGCTTATTAAACATCGTGTTACATGGGCTCCTTATAATTATTGTGGGGGGGGTTTGCATCTTATTGTCTTGTTAGTTGTCCCTTCGAAATCTTTACATTTTTTAAGCATTTGAACCAATCATATATTTATTTTAGTGTATAATATTGGCCCTATCATAATATTGCTCTCTTCTTATACAATGTTTCTCAAAATCCTCTAATAAGATACCTCATAAAAGCAATTCTGTTTTCAAATCTATATAATTTCGAAGCAATTTAACTAACCAACTTTGTACACTATTTTTTTTATCAATTATAACTAAATAGATTCCTAACCTATAATAAATGATTTTAATCATTTCTATGATATTGATATAAACATGAAATTTTCTGTCATGTCTAGATCAATATTATATCTAATATATGTTAATTAAGTACTATTTATTTTACTTCTTATATCTAGCTTCAATTTACCTTAAAAACCACCATGTTATGTCTTGATCCTGATTAGTGATCCCTTATTTCAGTTTGTTTCCCTTTTCTAATATATAAGATATGTCTCCTTACAATTTCAGAAGTTAGGTGTATCTATATTTCAACGTTGAAGACCACCTTAATTTTTTACCCCTTTGCATCTTTCTAATTGGCTCCTTCGCTTATTTGTCTTTTCCCAATTCTTATTCCGTTCTCTCTAAATATTTTGCCATCCCTAGTACCATCTGTGATCATTTTTTGCACTTGATCTATCTCCAATAGATCTTTCAGGTTATTTTTAATTAAATGTGCTGGTTCTCTCCCCTTATCTTCCCTTAGCACATCGAAAATTCTCCTCGGCTCCATGATTGAAATTAGATCTCCTAAATGTTCTCCTCTACTTCCCTCCAGCCCCTCCTTTGATTGGCATACATCAGTGGTCGGGAAACAGGGGTAAATTACCCCAAATGGGGTAAAAATGAAAATCCTGGGGTTAATGAGCAGAGCCCTACTCCCCACCCCCACTCCCACCCCCTGCAGCCAAACCTCAAACTGGAAGCCACCTCTCCCTCCTTCCTGGGTTGCAGCACTTGTAAATCCTCCGTTCTTTTAGAGACTCGAGATATGGCTGCTTGATTGGTTACAGCTGTAGAACAGCCCTGGGCAGTCAATCCGGCTTGTGAATGACTACTTCCGCTGGAGGTGACTGCAAGCAGGAGGAGGGAAAACTCCAATTAGGAGGGAAAGCTCCAATTACGGCAGGAAGAAAGGTGCGAGAGAGGGACAGGTGGTTTCATCAGCTTGTTTAAATGTAATGAGAGGAAATGGAAATACTGAACTGAAGCAACTAATTGTTGAAAATTGAGGGAGGAAGGATTTGTGTGTGCGTGAGAGAGAAACAGAGACAGTGAGACTTTCATAAAACCATGAAAAAATAAACCTTCTTAAATTTAATCTCCACTGCATTTAGCTCTGCAGTTTCTGCTGAGAACAGCAGAAGTCTGAAGTGTGTAGCAATCACGTTTCTCTGTTTCTCATCCCCAAAGCAGACAAGAGTATCATAGTTTATTCCCAAGATCTGAATCCCAGTCTTTCTGCTCCTGGTCCTACTTTGACTGCAGCACCAAACAAAAGACTGTGGTTTCTTTAATGAGTCAATCCATTTCATGTGCAGTCTTCTTCTTTTCCTACTGCATTGCACCTTTTCCTGCATTGCTGCCTTTTCCAGTGAGCTTGTTTTCTTATGCTGCCACTGTAGTTCATTGTTCCCTGTCTCTTGTTGACTATAGTCCTTCTTTAGTTGCTGTTTGAATAATTTCACCTCTTCATCGTGGGCTCAGTGTCTCTAAGATTTCTTGAAGGGTGGATTTTGTTTCGTCCCAAAAATTCTCTTGTTGTAACATTATATCCCAGATATCATCCAGTTGCTTAGTAGCAATCAGTCCAGTTCCATTATACTTACTTCCATAGGTCCGTTATATTCCAAGTGAACATTATCCAGTTGCTTAGTAGCAATCAGTTCAGTTCCATTATACTTACTTCCATAGGTCCATTTCAGTAGTCATCTTTAGGGTTAAACTTAAAATCCAGTCTCAGACGTGAAGGCTAAAGGTCACTTGCTCACCAGTTCTGGGCTTTTTGCCAAAGCTGTACATAGTGGTAGTCAAAACTTATCCGGTATAACTCCAGGGTTGTTAGCTAATAAGAGAAAAATTTCTTAAGTTTCTAGCACCAAAAAATGCCCATCTTCCTTCCTTGAAGTATAATTAAATGTCTAATTAGTGTCCAATTTATTTTCTTTGCATCTCTTTGCATCTCTTCCTCTTTCCAGATCCACTGCTGCTCCTTGAGTGTTGAGGCTGAGCTACGCTATTTCTGTTATAGGGAATTGTTTCGTCCAGGGATAGTCGTAAAGCCATATAGTTATAAAATATTTCTCACCCAATTATAATAGACGATGTTAATTAAGCTGGCTTATCGCTTCTCCATTGCCAGCTGCCAACGACTTGCAAGCAAGCTTTCCAGCTGCTTGTTTCTGTCCGCTGGTTAATTGAGGAGTTTCCCGGATCAAACGGAGGAGTTCCCCAGATCAAATCCACCCCCCAGTGATCAGCAGGCTTCTCCCCCATTTCACCATCTCTTCGGGGTGGTTTTAACCCCCTGGGGGATCCCAAACAGTTCAGAATTCAGCCCAGGGGACAGAGCTCTGTCCTCCTATTGCTGTCTCGTCGTAGCATCAAGCCGGAGGTCCACTCCTATTAGTTTCTAAGGCGCTGCTAGTTGTAACCGTCTAGTTGCAGGAAAACAAGCATAGAGCTCCCATTGATTCTGCATTATGGTGAGTTGTGTTATTATTTCTGCATACTTAACGACTAAACAACATTATTATGTTGTTGTATTATGGGGTCACGAAGAGTCGGACATGACTTAACGACTAAACAACATTATTATTTCATTATATATTACAATGTAATGATAATGGAAATAAAGGGCATAATACATGTAATGAGCTTGATTCAAAGCTATCCTCCAACAACCTACAGTACTGCATAACAAGTACACCCTCCCCCGTCCTTGGGAGAATGGTCTTCAACTAAACCGGTCCTCTATGTCAAAAAGGTTGAGGAGCACTGTTGTATGGGGAATGTTAAAGTATTACAGGAAAAAAAGCACCATAAAGACTGACATCTGTGATTTGTTTACTCCACCCTAGGAAATTTCCAGAGGTCTCAGGCCTCATACCCTCTTCCCCTCTACCCACATGCCCCTTGATTCCCCCCCCCCAATATTTGGCTTAGAAGTCCTCTTATATCCACAGTTTTCACCACATCTCCACAGACCTCTTGTTCCCTCAAAAACAAGAACTGACTAGAAGGTTTTCAAATACCCAGGCCTAAAACTGGTCAGGGGAGGGCATGGTAAAATCACAACCTGTGCCCCAGAGGAGGCAAAAGGTCTTTTAAAGTTAAAGTATTAGGGAGCATTTTGAGGGAACAGCAATGCTGGCAGCCATGGACAGCTTGCAGTTCTCATTTTGGTCCCTCACTTTGCTGAAGTGGAACATTCAGAATGTGAGATGTCATATGATGGCACCTCCTTGGTAAACCATGATTTCTCTCTCCCTGGCTTCCTGTGATGGCCATAAGCACCTGCAGCCGTAGCAGAGGAATAGATGGGACTCGATGGCTAATCTAAAGTGAATTATGTCCAACTGGATAGTGAGATGACCAGAGACTTAGGGATGAACAGCATGTCCTCTTAACATCTTGTATGCAATGGCAAATTTTTCCACCTTTAACTAATTGCAAGCCAGAGAGAAATTATTTGCAGTGTGTTGTGGAAGGCTTTTCTGCTCCTACCCCAGTGCAATTGAAGTAACACTCTTCCCTCGGTCTCCTAGCTAGAAAGTTTAGAAAAGAACATTCCCTATGAATGTCATGGACCTTGTGCTTCTTAATCTCTTAACTCTGCTTCATTTGACTCCCTTAGGCCTTGACCCTCTTGCCAATCTTCAGTATGCTGGCCATCCATCAAGCCATGTGGAAATGAGTTGGCATTATGGAATCCCAAATTTGTCTGTGGTAAGTTAAGAACCCATTAATGCAATCAAGCAAGGCACCAATTACCCACTTCACTTCCATCCCAGTTCAGCTGTCATAGGATGCAACTACACTACGGAAAAATGCAAGAAATGCTACAGGTTTGAGGAAGGCTGATTCATGTACAGTGGACCCTTGACTTACAGACGGCTTGACTTACAGACTTTTTGAGTTACAGACTTCTCTGGCCGCAAAATTTAGGTTTGACTTGCAGACTGAGATTTGACTTACAGACCAGAAAAAAACCAAAATGTTGCCCACTTCACCTCCATCCCAATTCAGCTGTCATAGGATGCAACTACACTGCGGAAAAATGCAAGAAATGTTACAGGTTTGAGGAAGGCTGATTCATGTATATTCATATATACAGTATATCACCAGCACCCTGATCTGTAGTTTTCCCCTCTGCCACTGGGGCCAATACAGATTAAGTTCTCAAGTCAAGACCCCACTGTATATTCATATATATATCACCACCCCGATCTGTAGTTTTCCCCTCTGCCACTGGGGCTTCTGCTTTTTTAAACAATAGATCAGTTTGCATCAGTTCAGATATTTAGTTTCTTGAACTGATGTAGAAAAGCCACAGAAAAACCACCATGCAGAACAACTACTAAATAAATAATAATAACTCAGGACTAGTAAGCAAAGCAAAGGTGGTTCTTCTGTTGTTGCCATTGTTCTTCTTCTTCTTCTTCATTCCTTCTTTTCTCCTTCTTCTTCTTACAGCTAAGGCAAAGCAGAGCCTTTCTCAGAAAGTTTCAACAAGACCTTCCTCTCTTTTTTCTTTTTTTCTTTTTTCTTTTTGTAACTGCTAAGGGATAGCAGAACCTCTCTCAGCAAGATTTTGCTTACATCTTAGAAACGGCTTACAAAGCCAGAAAGAAAAGGAAAAAAAAAAAAGCTTGGTGCCAAGCACTGTTACACTAGGACACCTAAAAAATATACAAAACAGCTAACAAGAGGAGGAAACGACAGTAAGAAACCCTTGTTACAGCTTGTTTAGATAGTTTCTTTAACTGTACCTCCTATGGAATTTCAATAGAATTGAAAACAAGGTGTGAACAAGACTTTTCTTCTGTCTCCCTGTATAACCAATGAAATTGAGCAGACCCAAATTCCCCAGTGCAACTTCACAGTGAGTGTATGTGAGTGTTTTCTCATTTTCCTGAGTAGTTGCACCTTTTAGAAGGCAGAGATTGTTTAGATATTTCTATTTATAATACCATCACCACATCTCAGAGCTCCCTTATGCATCTCACTTCACACTGCTTACATTCAACAAGGTTTGCCACTTTAATCCCCATTGCATTGTTTGAGAGAGATCCTTGTGGTGTCTGTGCAATCTTTCCTGTTTTCCAGCCCAAACAAATGCCATCTGGAAGATGAGGTGAGCATTACAAAGGCAAATTCTATTTCAGCTGAATTAAAAATGTAAGCTAGAGAGTTCCTGACTTGCTCACCTAGCCCCCAATCCTCTCAGCATTTTCTCTGTCCCTTTAAATCAGGGGCGCAGAATATGTGACACTCATTTGGCTGGGATGGCAGTGATACTGTGGGTGTAGAATTGAAAGAAGTTTGGTTATATGCCAGGGAGGAAAGCCCCAGTGGCCCAGTGTTGATTTCCCAAGGGCTACAGTAACCATAGAAGGGGAACTTCTAAAATCCGCTTTGCTTCACAAATAAAGCAAACAAACTGCCTCTGATGTTGGTTTATTTTCAAAATTATCTGACAATAGAGAATATATATATATTCTCTACTGTCAGATAATTTTGAAAATAAACCAACATCACAGGCAGTTTGTTTGCTTTATTTTTGATAAAAATATATTTATTTATATATATTTATATAATATAATTATAGATAGAAAGTATCTGCAGAGGAAAGGGACACAGGTGGTGCTGGAGATTAAACTGTTGAGCCAATAGGCTTGTCGAATGGAAGGTTGGCAGTTCAAATCAGTGTAACAGAGTGAGTTCTCGTTGCTTGTCCCAGCTCCTGCCAACGTAGCAATTCAGAGGCATGCAAATGCGAGCAGATGAGTAGGTGCCACCTTGGTGGGAAGGTAATGGCGTTCTATGTCTAGTCATGCCGGCCACATGACCATGGAAAGTGTCTATGGACAAACGCTGACTCTTCGACTTACAAATGGGAATGAGCACTGGCCCCTAGAGTCGGACACAACTGGACTTAATTGTCAAGGGGAACCTTTACCTTTACCTATCTGTAGAGAGGAAGAGGTGGGGAACTTCTGCTTTCCCCTGATGTGGCTGAACTACAGTTCCCATCATCCTTGCTCATTGGCCATGCTGATGGGAATTTGAATCAACAACATTGGAGCATAACAGGTTCCCCCTCTTTGTTTAGTCCAAGGGTTGGAAGCCATGGCTGAAGGTACCCCACCCACTTTCCCCACTGCCCACTTTCCCCATTTGCTATAGGTAGCAAGAATGAGAACTGCTGTTCTAGCAAACTGCACCAGGGTAGCAACCTTAGTCAAGTGGGCTGGGGCAGAGGAGAAGTACTGTTACCTCTCCCAAGTACAGACAACCTGGCTGTAGAGTATACTGTTTTTTTAGGGTGACTAGTGATCCCTAGATCTTAGTGGGCGGATGGGTGTTTTGAACCTTTCGTGATCTGAAGTACAAGAGGTGGAGGAGTGAGTTATCTTAGTGGAAGTTCTGCAAAATGCACAGCCATCCCAGCAATTCTGTGTGAGACCCTCAAGGCTGAGGAGGTTGCCTTAAATCCCAAGTCTATTTCACATCTTGGAAGAAGTTAGCTTTTGGAGTAGAGCTCGCAGGTCTCTACAACCAGCATGGCTGTTCCTGGGAATTATAGTTCCAAAAATGTAAATTTCTCAAGCTTTTCTTAAAGATCAGTCAAATCAGACAGATTAATAAGAGTAAGTTTTGTCTGCAACTGCAAACTACAATACTTGCGAACTTATGGAAATCAGGTCCTAGGGAGTTTTTGAGTCTTAGTTTGTAGTTAATCTAGTCATCTCCTCCTAGGTCTTCCTTCTGCTGGTGTCATTTTCCACCCCATCTGAGCCAAATCAGGTCTGCAGCTTTGAGCATAATCCTCTCCACAGTGGAAACTTTTCACGTGAAGTCAGAAATCTGGTGAGTGTACTGAACACCTACAAGCAGATTGTTGTGTGTGCTTTATGTTGGGAGCAAAGAAGATGGTGGACAGTAAACGCTGGTAGATCTTTGGATGGCTTGCAGCAGATTGGCAAAGGTTTCATAGGATCAAACTTTTGTTTTGAAAATCTGCCATGATTCACTTTGCGTGAATCATTAGAAGCAGGGCTCCTTCAAGAAGTAAAAGATGCCTGCTTCTCTAGCACAAGCTTGCTTTGCTTTGTAAATGAATCACCTTGTTTTTGTTTTGTGATTGGTCACTGAGACGTAAATATGGGCTTCATTTGCAAGTCTGATTAAGCGCAAAACTCTGAAGAAACTGTGAAACTCTTTATGCATAACAGTAGGCAGTACACATTTCACTTTAATGTGTGCTTTGACTTTCCCTGTGTTTCACCTTGTGCAAAATAAATATTAACTAGTTACCCTTTGATCATGTCTTTAAGTAGCTGTGCTGGACAGTTCAGCAACTCTGTATTAAAGTCTTTAAACTGTAAGGTGTTAGGTGTCAATTTGTTTATATACATGCAGTTCATCTCAGTGTATGGTTTGTGGGATATACAAGATCCCATAACTGCCTTTCTTCCACCAAAATAAACACTAGGGGGTTGTATATGCGTGGGTGTATTTTAATTCTACAGTTCTTCCTGTTACCGGTTGCTGGTTGTAAGTGACAAATTAATGTTTGAATGCATGCATGCATGCGTGCATGCATTGAACCTAGGAACTAAGGATGGCTATAGTAGTCAACAAAATCAGGCGGCCACATCAGGCTTGGTGTTTTGAGTTTCGTTGAAAGATCAGCAACTTGCTAGTTCTTTATCTTATTGTATTTTTCTTGCCAGAAAGGGAAGAAACTTTTTAGGGATTTTCCTATTCATTTTGCTAGAATAATTTGGTTTGGTTTATATATGAAATATTGTGGACAGGGTGAATAAAAATCAGTGACTTTTTAAAAAATCAAATTCATTTAAATCTTGATTTCACAGGGTGAATAAAAATCAATGTCTTTTTTTTAAAAAAATCAAATTCATTTAAATCTTGATTTAAATTTTAAAAATTAATTTTTTAAAATTGAAATAATCAGAAAAATTGGTTTTAAAAAATTAAATCATGATGTAAATCAGTTTGAAATAAAAAAATTGATTTCAAAAAATTAAATCATGATGTAAATCAGTTTGATTTAAATCCAGTCCACCCTGATTCCACTGAGCCATCATTTGGCACATGGATTTTATTGGTGAACCTCTGGGGTATATATATATATTTAAAAATCAAAAACCACAAAAGCAGACTCTACAAACTGAAAATCTGTTCTTTTAGACATTCTTATCCCCATCCACCCAGCAGTAAAGTACGATTTATTAGTAGTTCCCAACCTTGAGTTCCCCGATGTTCTTGGACTGCAAATCCCAGAAGCCTTCACCACTAGCTGTGCTGATAAGGGACTTCTGGGAGTTGTAGTTGAGGAACAGCTGGGGGCCCAAGATTGGGAACCCCTGACTTAGGTGAAATTCCAAAGGTAGCATTGACGTGTGTGAGCCAGTTTGGTTTAGGATCCAGCATCAGACTAGAATTCAGGAAATCTGTGCAATTGTTAAATTGCAATATTGTAGTCAAGCTTTTACTCATAAACTGAGTTCGATCCTTAACAGATTCAGGTAGATGGCTGAGGTTGCCTTCCATTCTTCTGAGGTTGGTAAATTGAGTACCCAGCTCACAGGGCGGGTGCAGTGTTTAGCCTGCATAATTAAATTATAAACTGCCCAGAGAGTGGTTTAAGCACTATGGGGCAGTGTATAAGCAGCATAGAAACTCACTAGATGGCAGAAACCTTGACACATTTCATATATCTTGAAAATTGTGTTAGGGTTCTTCTAAACTGGAAGAATTTGATGGAATGCAACAACAGAAGTTGGATAGCCTTTGGGACTTGGTAAATCAACACTAATGTAAATCCTATTGATTCAGTGGGTCTGTACCAAGTGGGATTAGCACTGGCGGTATGCCTATGATATGGATCAAGATTTACACACCTTTAAAGCAGACTTACTGAGATCTGTAGCTATACTACAAGTATACCTGAATCTAGCATGTTCTGTAGTTGCATTTCTTGCTTGTTATAATCCTTAATGCCCTGTGTTCAACCTCTCACTCTGTCTTTTCAGAAACAGTACCTACTCTTCGATTACCCAGTATCAGTACCATCCAACCTGAAACTGGTAAAAATTTAATCTATTTATGAGATAACAGGGGCATATGTTACTCCTGGACTGTGGGGCGGGGGAACAAACGAACAAACAGTGTTACGGTGTTTGAAAAGGATGATAAATAGCACTTGATCTTATTTAGAAATGAATTTTCCTGTGGCAGCAAAAAGCCTCTATTCATTTATAAAAACCCAAGGGTCCACCAACAGATGGATTTTGCTGTCTTCTTCAGAGTGTTACTTTGTCCAAAACAAACTATTGTTGTGGGGCTCTTCAAACTGTATTTCCTATTTTGGAAGGGTAAATCCTAGCAACTTCATAACTCTGTTATTACTATTGCTCAGAAATAACTAGTAATAAGTAACATAGATTCATTCCAATCATCCGTTGTTTTCCTTCTAAGATACAGATTTTCTATTAATAATGACTCTCAACTCCTTTCCCCGACAACTCCAGTGTTGTGACCCCACATACAGGCATATTTACTCATTTCCAGCATCTGTGGAATGTTGCAAATGTTTTTATAATGGCATTCTTAAACACCAGACTATGAGGGGCTGAATTTGATACTCTGCTTTCTATGATTTTTGAGAGGCTTGCACTATTTTGTAACGGGCTTTGTTGCAGGAGGTGGAGTGCACAACTTTATGCTGCAGTTGCTTCCTGTGCAGACTTCCTTTCTGTGCCAGAAGCTGTCCAGAGGCAAAGGTGTAACAATGAAAGAATTTATACAAATTTCTTTCCTGGAAAGAAATTTTTCTAGACTAGCTACTTTCAAGGCTTTTCAAGGACTTGGCTTTTTGCAGTGCAATGTAGACATCGATAAGCGTGCCTAGCTATGCTCACTTCTTGCAGCATTTTTGCCCATCTGGACAAGCCCCCTAAGAAACAGGAAGGTGGGGAAGACAACCTCAACTAAGTAGGTGATCACATGCTTTGCATGGAGAAAATTCCTTACTGAATCTTGAGCTCTCCAAATATGTTGGGCTACAATTCCTATGGACCCTATCCAGGTTGAATTCCTTCACAGTTGAAGGATCTAAATTTTAGGAGTGCTGGTGCAGACAGTACAGATCTAGAAAGACTTGGTGGGTGGAATCTTGTTCCTGCAGAGCTCCACCTGCATAAGGCTGATTACATCAACAGCCTTATGCAGACAGGTCTGCCTGAACAGGATTCTGGCCAATATAAGGAAATGGTCTATGGTCTAAGTGATTTACAAGAACAACACAAACTACTTTCTTTGCTCCTCCATTTAATATTGTTTTCCTCCTCTCCCAGGATGCATTCTGCCTGGAATTATGGGAAGTTCATTTCATTAACAAGAATTTCAATAACATGCTCAGTGTATCTGGGAATGAACTGAAGAAATTGATTCAAAATGTAACACGTCACACAAATTTTGCTACGGAATGTAACTTTACGGTAGGTCCCAGATAGATTTTCTTTATTCTTTAAAGGGGGGGGGAGTGTCTTAAGATGTGGCCATATTTTAGTGTGCATTTAAATGATTGAATTGTTTTCTTTAAGCATCCATCATTTATTGATGCACTTTGATGTGGTTTTATTAATGTTTTTTTCAAATTACTCTTTGTAAACTAGCTTTGCCTTCTGCCATTAAAATAGCATTCCCCAATACAATGCCTTGAGTACAACTCCTGTCATGCCCATCCCTGGTGAGGATGGGAATTGTAATCCAACAGACTAGGAATCCATCAAATTCTGGAAAGCTGCACTAAAAGGATTACAAAGGAAATAGACTGTGAGATGGAGCACAACAGAGCATCTGTACCCTCAAAGCCCAATTCTGTACACTATGGGTAAGCAGTCCAGTGTGCTCTGTACATTTTGTATTACAACTTCTGTGGGCTGTAGCTGCCATAGCCAATGGCTGTTCAGGGTTGATGAGAGTTGTAGTCCAAAATCTGCACCATATTCAAATCCTGCATGATATTCTTGTAGGGTAGAGATCTTGTGCAAACACTTTCAACTCCTTCCCTTCCATCTCCCCAGCCTGCCATTCCCCACTGCAGTCCCTTTTTTAAAAGCATGCATACACCTCCCTGTTAGTTAATTTCCAGCATGTACTGTATCTATAGACCAAATTTCACACAATGTTATTCATGCGTTTACAATGAGATTATTGCTTCTTTTATTTGGAAGGAAAAAGTTGTGAATAAGGACAGAGATAAAAAGACCTTGGCTCACATCTTAATTTCAACCCCACCTAACACATACTACCTAAACTAATATGTGATCTGTTTTTCATTTTTAGTATGTGCCATTGGAAATTGATAAACCTTGATGCTTCACTATTAGAGCCATTCCTATTTCTCCTGAGTTGATCTTTGTGAGTTTCCAATGGCACAATTTTTTCTTATTATGTGTATTTGTTCTACTGCCTCCTAAAGAAAAAAACACCCTTACGGAGTTTAGCCATTGACTTTCACGCTTCTCTGATCTCCAGTTAAAAGCTGCTGCCATTAGGAAAGGTTCCCTACAAGAAGACTTACATGGATGTAACATCTGTTAATGAAAATGTCTTGCCTCCAACCCTAATGATGTATTGGGGAAAATGTGAGCAAAAATGCAGACGAATATTCATGCATACAGAAATTGCAGCATACAGCTATGGCAGAGATAAACAGCAACTGGGGAGAAGAAATAGTTTTCAGCTGGAAGTGACTATACAGCTGCACTTAAGGTCCTGCAGATGCTTGAAAATGCACAATTTGAGCAGCCTATTGTAAAGGCATGAATAACACCCTAAGTGTGGGGGTGGGTGGGTTACAGCAGGAATTGAGAGAATGTGGATCAAGACCCACTGATAAATCTCTGGATGATTTGCAATAGACTGGCAAGGATTTTCAGGGCTGAAGCCTGACATGCACCATCTTCTGGGCCTGGGTTACACAATCTGTGGTCAAAACTAATGGACCTTGTGGCACATGTCTCTCCTTGCCCCTTATCAGGACAGCTGTGTCACTTTTGAGAAGACAAACATCTCTCACTTCCTGGAGCCTATTCCGTCTTTGCTTGCAACATTGAGAGACAAGATGAATGAACAGATCGATGAAGAGCCTGTTGACTTCCATAACTGCACCATTATTCAGTGCCAACCAGGTAGCACTCAGTCTCATGGGAGGGAACTCTGTGTGGATGTATAGGGCGTGGGAATATAGAGGATCTTCCTTTTGAATGGGAATTTGCCATAGTATGCATGAAATCATGTGGTTAGTTGATCCTATGATTTTAAAGCCAAATCAGAAATCCGGTACACAGAAATCTGGTGGGCTTATTGGTATTAGTAATAATATAGTGATTTGAAGGATCTAGATTTTGACAAAGGGTTAGATATAGATTTTTTTTCATAGTTAAAGCAGAAGCATTGAAACTGATGGAACTTAAGTGATCTTAAATCTGATCAGTTTCAATGGGGCCTTTCTAAATATGACTAAATAAAAATCCAGCCCAACCTATTTCACTGCATTATCTCCATAACTCTTACAAACAGATTCGGCATCAATACCCTTCTCTCAGCTCTAGGGCTACTGACCAGTTTCAGCATCCCAGAAGGGCAATGAAAACTAGGTGATTCAGTCTGTGAGCTGCCCTTTTAAATGTTGCATAGTGCCTCTGATCAGCTGTCATAATTTTTCACAGTGTGCTGGAGCAACACTGCATTGGGGACATGGAGGAATAATTGTGACATATGGTGCCATCAGGTATACTCAAGGACAGGACTCTGCTGGAGGCCACTTTACAAAGGGCTTCCTCAGACCTAGAGCTGGTCTTTCTTGAAACAACAGTACAGATCTCATTTCCTTGTTGCTCACAGAATTTTCAGCAAATACACCAAACTACAGTACATATCCCATTTTTTCTGTTTTTATTTCATTCTACAGTGGTGCCCCGCAAGAATAATGTAATTTGTTATGCGAGAATCGCTGTCTTGCGAAAAAATCATCTTGTGAGGTTCCCTATGAGAACCTCGCAAGACGAATGAAATTTATTTGTCTTGCGAAGCACCGGTCTCAGAGAAAAAACCATCTTGCGAAGCATGGCCATATCCTATGGAACCCTTGCAAGACGAATGAAATTTATTTGCCTTGCGAGGCATCGGTCTCAGAGAAAAAACCATCTTGTGAAGCGTGGCCATAGAAGAAACCATCTTGCGAAGCACCATAGCGATCGCAAAAACCAATCGTCTTGCAGGTTTTTCATCCCGCAAGGCAATCATCTTGCGAGGCACCACTGTACTTTATTTTATATTAAAGTATTTTATATCATCTTCATATCCTTATTTTTACCCCTCACCAGGCCTTCAAAAGCAGTTTACATAAAATAAAATAAATCCTCTAAGAGCAAAAAAAAATAAATAAAACAGAAACCTTAAAAAAAAACCAAGAGGGAACAGAGTTTAAGTTGAAAACCATTGGAAGTCAGGGTGGAATATTAATTTTTTCCTGTGTCCTGAAATACCAATATGAAATTGAACTTTCAAGGAGAAATTCACACCTGGAGTGCTGATAACCAACCAAACCTTTCAGTGGTATTGGGACTTACAACAGGACTTCCCTTGCATAGGAGAATCTATGTTAATATAAACTAGTAAAGAACTGCTGGATAGCTCAGTGGTTTAGGTAGATAGCTGTAGAGCCAGTGGTTGGGAATTTAATTTCCAAGTGTCCCTCCTCGACAAGGGTTAAACTCAGTAATCTATTGGGTCCCTTCCAGCTTTGCAGTTAAGTGTCCCTCCTCAACAAGGGCTAAACTCAGTGATCTGTTGGGTCCCTTCCAGCTTTGCAGTTCTAAGATTCTAAGATAATTGTTGGAAATCTGTAGTGAGGACATGCTTTCAGTCTGCCTCCTCCTATTTCCCTCTGACTTCTCTCCTGGTCTTGTTTATGTTCGTCTTAAAAAGAAAATATTCTAGTGCTACTCATATTAGATGAAGTCACAATTAGAAATGGGGGTATTCGCATACGAATATCCCCGCACAGGTGGCGTTAACAAAGGTCCAGCCCCATGGAGCCGGATGGTCCACTCATCGCAGACGGTGCAATTCTACCAGTGGCTCAGCAGCGCGCGATCCATTCGCCACTCTTCAACCTTCCAACAAGGGTTGTCCCCCCTCCTCCTGGCAGGAGTGGCGAGCGGATCGCGCACTGCAGAGCAGTGCGATTCTACCAGTGGCTCAGCAGCGCGCGATTCGTTCGCTACTCTTCAACCTTCCAATGAGGCTTGTCCCCCCTCCTCCTGGTAGGAGTGGCGAGCGGATCGTGCACTGCAGAGCCATTGGTAGAATCGCACTGTCCGCGTCCAATTGGTGAGTGGACCATCCAACCCCATGGGGGTCTGACCCTCATTAACGCCATCTGTGCGGCGGTATTCATATACGAATATCCCCATCTCTAATCACAATCCACTATTTGGATCTTAAAGCATGATATCAGCGGTCATTTCAAAAATGGTATGTGTCCTACCTCTTCATGGGGTGTACTCTCTCTCTCTTCCTGCTCTTTGCTACCAGAAAGCATTCAATCTGTCCCTATAGGTCAATTTTTTTTCTCTGTACTGCAGACCTTTTTATTACTCCAGCTGGCGAAAAACAAAGAAGGACCCAGCCCTCCGATCAAAACTTCCTGGGAAGATCCCACTGGGGACTCCTTGTCGTTCCGGTTTTTCCCTTTCTCATCATTTTGAGCCTTTTGTGCAGGAAAAGATCCCAGGTAAGCCACAGCAAGAAGACTTTCCAAAGGACCTTACTCTCTATGGTGGACAACAGCTGAATGGTAAAGGATATGTTTTGTATCCAGAAGGTCCCAGGTTCGAATCCCTACCATCTCCAGTCGAGGAATCTCATGTCAAAGGTCTGAGTAAGATACAGCCTTTGTCAATTACATAGCAGTAAAGGGCTAGCTCAGGGATGGGAAACCATGTATTTCTGTATATATATTTTTTTGCTTGCACACACTCTTTATTCACAGTCTGGATATTAAAGTAGGAAAGGATGAGAAGAAATAGAAGAAATTAGTTTCAATTGATATTTTTTTACCAATTTGCAAATTTTGTACTTGGGATGGAAAGAACTTGAGATTTAGTTTTTGCTTAGCTCTTTTTTTTCTTTTTCTTTTAAAAATTCAAATAAGGCAATGTGGCTGAGGAATTCCAGGCCTTGTGATCCTCCACCACCTCTTGGGGCTTACCAGTGCTGAAACAGGAAAACACAGTTTCGGTTTATGCCCAAACGGAGAGAATTATTAGTACATTCTAGCTCAGCAGTTTCATGTCCCTTTTAAAGTTGTCTTTTTCTGTGGAATAATATGGCAAAGATCACAACCGGCAGCTTTTGCTATTCAGCATTTCAGCGATTGGTGTTACATTTTAAGTCCACTGCAAGATTTAGGCACACGTGATTTCGTGTCATATCTGACTTAAAGTGACTCTACTAGGTTTTTCTAGGTATATGAGATATTTAAGGAGTTGTTTGACCAATGCCACACACACCTCATGAATTTCCATGGCCAAGCTGGGATTTGTTTCTGAATCTTCTGAGTCCTAGTTTGTCACTTTATCCCCTACACCATCGTGGATTTCGATTTTAGCTGTAGAATACAGTATATAAAAATAAATAGCCAGTTGCAGACCTTATGTTAGTCGTTGTTAGGCAATTAACAGCATGATCTGACAGATCTCCTGTGACTTCCTCTCCCACGCCAGCTTCTAACACTTGAAAGCTTTCTGAGAAATAGCACTGATTGTAGAATTTGACAAAGATTTGGCGACAGGAAAACGCAGAGTTATTGAAGACACTTACAAGAAGTTCTTCTTTTGCAAGACGGTTGTATTTACAGTATTTACAAGTATGTACAGGCAGGCATCACATCAGCATGGCAGGACATCATTACACAAACCGGCATAGAGTATAGCAGCAAATATTCTGAGAAACAGCACTGATTGTAGAATTGTCCCTTTGTCAGCACTGCAGCCGATTGTTATTGATCCTTCCCTCTTTTCCTGCTGTCTCCTTCAACCTTGCTAATAAATCAGAAAGAGTAATCCTGGCTCCATATTTCATCCCTCAGAGACTCCCAAGATTTGAGGAACCAAACTTTTGAGCCCACAGAGAACTGTTCAGAAAAGAAAGGATACTTGAAGGTAAGATGTTCATTTCTCTCAGAGGAGAAGCTTCATCAATGGACATCATCAGGTCACAAAGTTTATCTGCATGATTTCCGAAATGATTCATAACTCAGAGATAGAAAGACAAAGGAGAAGGCAATGCTACAGGTGGGACTGATGTGGGCTGAATGGTCCTTTGTTCAACCCCACCCTACTCCCACACATAACAAATAAGCATATCAGGGATTTGGTGAGAGTATCTATAAGGCCAACCAATGGGGAAAAAAATTTCCTAAAGACAGAAAACTAACATGTCAGTAAGAAGGCTGGAGTGCCTTCTGACTGAATGCTTCTCTGTACAAATTAATCATAATCTTCCTCCTCTCTGCACATTGAAACACAGTGCATTGGGCAGAAGGATAGACTGAAATTGAGGGAGAAGGCTACAACTTTCCCTGTTTTTGTAACCACCTGTGTAAGAATGAGACCTTAGCACAAATTCTAGGGTGTTGTTTGCCTAACGAGAAATATCGTAGAAATCCAAACTAACTTATTTGGTGAAACATTGTCATTTCCGCCCTCTCTGTGTCTCTCTCCACAACTAACACTTCCTGTCTCTCTTTCTCTCTCTCTCTCTCTCTCTCTTTCTCTAGAACTTCCTTTTCAGACATGAGTGATTTGAGATTGCCATCTTCGTTCAAATAAATGAGAAAATATCCTTTTGTACCACCACCGCAGCTGCAGCAATGGCAGCAGCAGCAACACATTCCTTGCTCCCAGTTCTCTCCCTCATGGACTGAAATACTGCAGAGCACAAAGGCCTCCTTTTGCGGAAGAGGGGAATGAGAGGGAGAAACTGCAGGATATATACAAAAGACTTGGTGGTGGGGGCTTCAGTTCTGGATTTTGCCACTGGGTGTTGCTCTGCCATAATTTTTATACTGTATATATTTGTGTGTGTGTGTGAGAGAGAGAGAGAGAGGGAGAGAGAGAGAGGGAGAGAGAATAAAAGAGAGAGAGAGAGAGGAAGAGATGAGAGAGATGTTTTTAATATATATATATTATTTTGTATAAATAAATAAAAAATCCAGTTGTTTAGTACCCATGCAAATGTGTCATTTAAGTGGCATTACACGAAAAGGGACTACCTAGCAGGTCTGTTGTGAGGACTTGGCTTCCTTTGTTAGTTCTCAGAGCCCAAACACCATAGATGTTTTGAGAGCCACCTGCCATCTTGAATTTCTCATTTTTGCCACAGGGTACCTGAGATAATGTTACTCTGAGGCACTGCGGAAAATTAAAGTGGTGGTCCTCTTCATTAGAAATACTAAATGACAGTCAGAGCCCTACTCATTTAAGGGTGGGTGCCCCCTTACATAAACCCCTCAAATCTATAGCCAGTCCAGATAATTTTAAGACTGCTGTGTTTATACAGCCTTGCCTCACATAGACAAAATGTCGTATTGCCCTTTCAAACAATCTGAGAAAAAAGAAATGGTTGCCCCTCCAGAATATCTCACTTGACTAAAGAGTTAGAACGAACTCTTCACTCATGTTCTAAAGCCCATAATGGACAACATATTATCATGTATCTGCATCACGTTGTGGTAAACCTTTTCTTTTACTTGCATTCCAAGCGGG